TTCTGTGTAGACCTGCCCGAAGCGGTAGTAGCACATCTTGTACATGAGGCAGTTGAGCAGCACCGGGGAGCCCTCGCGGTCGACGCGAAACTCGCCCGTCGGCGTGTAGTAGTCGTGCTCCTTGATGTGCTTCCCCGTGTCCGTGCTCCCCCCGATCCTCACCATCCACAGGAACTTGTTGATGTCTGCAAGGGGCAGCAATCGTCACGGTTTTCGCTTAGCCCGGCTGCTGCTTCGCGCTGCCGTCCTTCCCCGGGGCGGCCTCGGCTCGACGCGGGATTTCGCTGCGTTTTGGAGGCTCCCGCATCGCCAGCGACGCCTCCCAGGCGCTGCGTTACGCTGCGCGACCCGCTACTGGGCCAAACACCGCGTTTAACCCAGCAAAGCACCGCAGCTACTTTTGTCCGGTCCTTGCCCACAGCTCAGAGCGAGATCTTACCGTCGGAAGAATATCCGGTGAGGCCTCCGAATATGACCAGCACGTAGCTGACATCCAGCTCCCTCATGATCTCATAGGCCTTCTCCTCCGTAGATGCCATGGCCTGGGACAAACACAGCGTCAGTCAAGCGGCAGCCATTAAATATGGGGTAACCCCATCACGTGAAACCAAGCGGCATCATTCAGACACACCTGGAGGAGAAACCCCATTTTCCAGAGGTCTCCAGAAAGAGGAAAACGATCATCTGGAGAAGGTTCCTTGGAAACCCGACGAGCGAGTCGCGGGTCCGAGAAGGGACGGCGCCTACCTGGCCAACTCGAGAGATGTGCGTGTTGTTCCAGGTGTTGTTGTCCACCAGAATGGTCCGATTGGCCATCGCGGTGATCTGATACCCGTAATCCCACCAAGACATGACCTTTGCGTCCTGCACTCAAATCCGACACAGGCGATTAGCGCCTCTGCTTTCGACTAGCGGCGCTTCGCCCTGTTCCCAACAGGGAGGGGAGCGCGGTGGGAGGCGGGGAGCAGCTCACCTCCGGCGTGTTGTGGCGCAGCCAGTAGTAAGCCTCTCTGAAGTCGTCAAAGATGATCCTGCTGCCGTCCCCGCCTCGAGCGGACAGCACGATGGAGGGAGAGGAGTAGGCCTCGCTGGTCACCCAGGTCGAGTGGAAGGTGTACGTGATCAGAAAGAAAGCCATGACCAGGATCATGCCGCTGGCGACCTGGCGAAGCAAAGGGGCAGCGTCGACCTTCGCTCGCTTCGGGAGAGGAGCCTACCAGCCTGCAGCGGGCCTCGCCGGCACTAGAGGCTGTTTTCCTCTTGTCCCCGCAAGGACCTCCCCC